AATTAATGATTTAATGTTCATTCGTACAATTAGTAGTGCTAGTGCTTAAGGCATACTCTAACGTATGTGCAGTTAATAAAAAATATATTTGTTAAAATTATCTCTTTAAAAAATTTGTATAGGCTTTATAGGTCAAATTCCATTATAATTAAAAGGTTTTTATCACTTTACCCCCTTAATGTTTGGTACTACTATCAATTTCTCATTTAATGTTATTTTTTAGTCACTTTACCTCTAAGACTAACGGTTAAACATAACGGAGTTTGTTAAGTAAAGTAAAAAGACAAGTTTAGCCCTAAAAGTTATTATCACTTTACCTCTATAAACTATAGTTTCATTATCTATTTACCCCATAAAGTTATTTTTTAGATAATTTATTTCACCATTAAACTAACTTAACAAGTTAAAAAACTTTAGAGAAAGTACCCTTCTTTTTGTATAATAAAAATAATAAAAAATTTAAAGTGGCTCTTTTCAATTTTAATATCAAGAAAAATAGTCAAAGTATTAATCTCTTTCTTATTGACAATCTTATTAATATTAAAACAAATAGAAAGATCGGGAGGGGGAGGGAAAGGGGGAGAGAGAGTAGAGAGAAAGAGAGAACTCAATTCTTTTTTAAAAAAAATAAGAAAGAATTAAATACTTTTATTATTTTAAAATTATTTTACTTTACTGTTTACCACCAAATTTCAATCCTAATTCCAACAACCTTAAACTAACACGATAATGTTACACTTTTCTTTATTATTTTCTTTGCGAAATCTAATTTTCTGTCTCCTTCTTTTCTATCTTTTTTCTTTTCCTAGTATTAATAAGTGTGAAAAAAGAAATTTGACAAAATCCTTTATTTTTATATTTTTCGATATCTTAAAGTAAAAAAGAAGAATAATCATTCCAACTTTTTTTTAATTATATATATAAAAGGGTCAATATTTTTAAAATTTTTTGACTATACTAGTTAGATTAACGATGAAGTAAAATGTCTAGAAAATAATGTTAGGAATTAAAACGATTATATAACTATAATTTAAAGGAATAAAGTAATAATAACAATATAGTAATGCTACAGAATAAAAGTGTATTTTTATCCAAAATTTCTTAACATGTTGAGTTAAATTACTTATGAGGGTGAAGTGATTAAAAGATAACGTTAGGGAGTAAACTGATAGTAGTGATATAGTTGAAGGGGATAAAGTAATAATAACCCTAATTAAAATGTAGACAATCAAACACAAAGAAGATGATGGGACTAGAGCAGACTACGTGTGTGATAGTGCTGATGCGAGGGAGTTGTAGTTAGTGGATAACTGAACACATAACTATTTTCTGATTTAAATAACCATCTGCTGCTAATTGTGGAGAATTTTTTGGATTAAATTAGGACAAATTTGCCCTTATGATTAAGGATATATTAGAAATTTCAAAAAGATGATACTGTGTATTTACACCGTATAATGACATTCTTCCTTTATACATTGTATAAACATTAAAACATAAATAAATTACTACAATTATAAATAGGAATGAGCCAAAAAAAAATTTAAAAGTTAAGTGTGATTGTGCTTATTGTGGTCATGATGTTCAGCTTTAATATTATCTCATCTCTCTATGAGATCCGTAGCTTGGTCAAATGGTTGCGGAACTTCGGCATCTGGTTCTGGGCCTCTGGCTGGATTGGATAAGGCCCAAAATACTTGAAACTAGGCTGCTCGGCCTCACGCAGGCCCTGAAGTGGCGTGAGTGAACAGTAATCATTTGTTGGAATGTTGGCCGCAGTATAAATAACATCGGTGCTTAATAATAACATGCGCTCGTTGGGAGAAGTATCGGATATTAGCTTTATAAAAAATGTAATTAATTCGAGAACGTTTTCAAATGTAAAGGTACAATAATTGTGATTATATATAGGGTAAATTACACTTTATTCCCATGTAGTTTAGTATTTTTGTACATAACCCCTTTATAGTTTCAAAAGCTATGCATAACTCTCTCATGTTTTGGATTAAAGTGTTAAAATAACGGAATTTGCAATTTATAATGAAGTCACCAAAAATATCAAAAATATCCCTATGTAAAGTTGAACATTATTTATTAACCACAAGGGCGTTACGTGTATATTTTGAAAATCATAAGGGGGTTATATGGTAAAACATTAAATTATAAGGGGGTTATATGATAAAACATAAAATCATACGGGTTAGTGCGTCATGTATATTATGTTTATATATTTTGGTTATTTCAAAATTTTTAAACAAGGGTAATTTGGACATTTTGTAAGGTTCCGTTACAAATGAACATTTCCGTCACTTTGACAGTTTAATCCAAACCATGAGTGGGTATGTATAACTTTTGAAACCATAAGAGGATTATGTACAACAAAACACTAAACCATAGGGGGGTCAAATATATAATTTTCCCTTTTATGTGTTCACATGATAATTTTGATACAATTTAGGTTTCAAAACAATTTCCTCTGCATTATGCTTACGCTGCATTTTTTACTGTTGCTTAAAACACTACTCAGCCATCTATTTTGAACGTCATAATCTCATGAATCTTCTCCAGAATCATGGCTAGCCGACTCATTTATGATTTGCTCAAACCCCTTGCCAAATTGCAGAAAAACCGACAGGAGAAAAAAAGAAAGCTATGTTCATTTGACCCGTAGCCACATTTATACAATAACAATAAGTAGCCAGTGAAGTACCCTATTCTGCTGCTTTTTTTTTTCTTTCTTCTTCCCACAAGATAACCTGGATGAGGGTGGAAAATCGTGTGATATTATGGGCTCCAAGGATGACAAACTCTGAATAGAACATGTTGCCAATAGATAGGTCCAATTCCTTGTTTTCTAATGACATTTGCTGCTGTCTATCGTATCAGGCATGGGTTTGTACTCTTGTGCAAGACAATGAAGGCTCCAAAAATTCTTGGGATCCAATTTAGCATCTCATGTGCATTTTCCTTCACCATATTCACCGGCATATATGGTGCTTGATCAGAATTGTTGATGTGAACTGGAACAGCATATTTGGCTACAGAACAAACTGTACTGTGACCTCTATGTGACCTTTCATCGGCATCCTTCAGGTTTGATTAATGGCGACAACTGAGGGGTGTCTGGTGGCTAGCACCAACAGGGGTTACAAAGCTATTATGGCCTCTGGTGGCGCAACTAGCATGTTGTTGAGAGATGGGATGACCAAAGCTCCTGTGGCGAGGTTTGCCACTGCCAAAAGCGCTGCAGAGTTGAAGTTTTTCGTGGAGGAACCTATGAACTTTGAGACTCTCGCTGTTGTTTTCAATGAGTACTAGACATTTTCACATTCTTTTTTTTTTTTTTTAAAAGAAATGCTTATTTTTATTTTTGGATGATGAAATGGGATCTGCTTTTTATTTTTGACTTTTTTTTATTTTGTATTTTTTGTCTTTCTTATGTTTGTTTTCAATGAATTGGTGGGGAAAGAAGGAAGTCGGAGGGAAAGCCATTGGACAATGAATGGGCATTTTTTTTTTCTTTCAAAAGTATCAAACTTTTGAGATTATTGCCTTTGTCAGTAGTTTCTTTGTTGCTGGGGTGTGTTAGGTGAGGTCTAACATATATTCCAAGTGGAGAAGTATGACTAATGACCATCACTACTACATAATTTGTTTTATTTTGCTCTTTTTGACATTTGTGAACTTTGACGTTGATGCTTTCTCCTACACATGCACATTTTTATCAAAATTACGCAAATGGAAAACTTTTTTTTTTTTGGTGGAATCACACATCTTTTCCTTTCACTTCTTAGAAATGTTCAATCTTGGCTAGGCACAATTTTTGTGTTTGGATTGCATTTTCCGTCATTTTTCATGAAAAAATTACTGTAGCGATTTGATATATGTGAGGGAAAAAGGTGATAAGGAAATGTGATCACGGAAAATGACAATATTTTACAACGGAAACAAGCAATCCAAACAAGGCCGTTCATTCACAATTTTGTCTCACTATTTCTATCATTTCATGCATGGCTACAAAATTCATTTGTCTTTTTGCTCGTCAGTGTCCATAGTCAGGGGCAACGACATTAGCTGTAATGATTTTCTAAAGGATAAATATTAAAACATATGATTTGCTATATTATTAAATTCTTGAGGTATCCTCTTTTGTTCTTTTAATTTTTTCTTGTGATTATTTGGCTTTACTTGGAATTTGAATGATTAATTAGAATAGTTTCTTGAACTTAGGAGTTGTCTGACACGTTTTAAGGGCAATTTATGTTGGAGAGTTTCAAGCTCTGCATACGAAATTGTCCATAAAATACTTTCCGTCTCTCATAATAGAAGAAATACACGGAGTGATCTAAACAGTACAAATTTACTAGTTCGGTGATATTTTTGACTAATAAAAAAGTTTAGTGACCATAAGCGGTACATTGCAATAATTTAGTGACATTTCACGCATTTGCTCTAGAAAGAAACACGGTGCAATAAGGTGTAAGAGAGGAAGAGTGTATAAAAGCTGGAAACAAGAACATAAGCAAAGAAAGTAAAGATGTGATAAAAAAAATTACAAATAATGAGTTGGCATACACTTATAAATGGACCCTCCTGTTGATATAGCGACCAGAGTAAAGCTACAAGTCCTTTTAAGACAGAAGTGTTCTAGCTGAGAAAATTTGACTTTTATAATTGTCTGCAGGAGTTGATGCGTGGTTAGAAGTATATTAATGTCCTGTCCCCCTTGCTCCCCAAAAAGTCTTGCCCTTCTATCACCTGTGAAGTTCTCGGCATCTGCCCGCTCTGGAGTACACGACAGCATCAGACATGTTTACCTTAAGAACTAGTGAACAAACTAATAACTGTTGCAAGGGTTCAGATTTTAGCAACAAGACAAAAATTCAAATTGCAAGAACGAAGAAAAAAAATAACATAACATGCAATTCTAACTCAAATAACTTGTAGGAATTCATATGAATGATAGATGAATACAATATTTTTGTTATAAAAATCTCTGTTTTACACTGCATATGAATTTATATACCAATAATTATTGCCACATTTTGCATTTACATGCTTTCCATGTCTTGCATTTACACCCGAGTGCTGTCGCCACTTGGGGTACGAGGAGTAACTCCGCCACTAGACCTGGGTGCCCGCAAGCTGACCCGAGAGAACACCTGACGGACAAAATCAGAAAACAAGTAGCCTCTGCTATCCATCCGATGAATTTTCAGCCATTTCTTGAACAGAGCGTTTATCTCATACAGGGTTGTGACTATCCAACCGCTCCAGACCATGAGTACGATGACTAGAATCTCACTTGTATTACCCAATTGCCGCCCTCTTGCTTCTTTTGGTGCTACTGTAATAAGTGCTATAGCATAAGTTATGGCTATGGTTGCAATGGCTAGCCACATGACAAAGGCCAACAACGGCATTAAGCACTTGCTGGGGATGCTCGACCCACGAATGAGCAAAATAATTGTGCTCAGAGATGAAACAAATGCTATCGTGTTTGCCCGAATCAGAAGCCAGTAATATTTTGGATGCTTTTGTGCCATAACAGCTTCTCCTATTGTGTGTGGATTTGGTCCTTCTAACAAGTCATCTTGCCACACACCTCCTGGAGGGCTTATCCCTGCTTGAAAAGCCATGGTTGCAATAAGTATGGCCACCACCATTATTGCTTCTCTGCTTTTCTCGAACCACTCTAGCTGCTTGAGCTTCCGGTCGTCAATAGGGGAGCGAATTTCCTTGGCTTTCAAGGCACCAGCCTCCTGAAGACAGCTTGAAATTTCTGAACTTTTGGTGACTCCCTGCCCAAACAAAAAGGTCTAACGCCGTTTTCCCGTTTGCGTTCTTGATGTTCACCTCTACTCCAGCGTTAAATAGCAAGTATTTGATGGTCTGCATTTACCAATTTTGGAACTGATGAATTACAGAGAATAGCTCACACCTAAACCTCATCAAACTTGTTAGAAGCTGAATGGATAAAAACTGGGATTTTGAGGTCAAGCATGTCTGCAGGGAAGGCAATGCAAGTGCAGACTGTCTAGCTAGACTGAGTCAGAGCTTGGAACCAGGGCTGAAAGTGTTCAGAGAACCCTCAGAGAATGTACTTGAGAATGTGTTAAGCAATGATTTTATAGGACTAGCTACTCCTAGTCTAATTTCTTTGTAAAGGGCCTTTGGCCCTCTGTTAAAATATTTGCACCAGATAAGACTGTATCCCAATTCAACTAAGCCAAGATGATTTGCTACTTGTTAGTGCTGGACAATTCTTGGAAAAAGTTTTCTTTTTATTTTTTTAAAATTTAATCCCAATTTTGTTTCAAACTAAGCCAACATGATTTGGGACTTGTACCTCATATTGCTCATAGTACACGGCCAGGTGCAATATGGTCATGCCATCTTCATTTTTGGCATTCACGAACTCCGGATCTTTTAATTTGTCAACCAGTATCTTCAATGCTTCCAGCTGATTGTATTTGATGCAGAGGTGCAAAACGGTTCCCCCGCCGTCTGTCTTCTCTAGAGCTGCGCGAAATCCGGTACGAATTAGCAGTAACAGGACCGGCAATTTTCCATACATGGCAGCAAGATGTAAAGGATTTCTTGTTAGAAAACTGTAGTAAAGAACAAAACTATACTAGACAAATACAGAGACTTTGAGGCGTGAAAGCACTTTCCTTAATATCTTGTCAAGATTTTATATATCTTGAAATAAGTTTCCCACCAAACTTTCCCTCCAAACTAATATCTTGGAACAAGTTTGTAAAGGAATAGGACAATGACTCATATATAGGCAACATGCAATTTATCCTCTTTCAATGTGGGACAATAGATTTCAACATACTCATTACAAACTATTACCAACATTTCTGCCATCTCGATCACGGGCCCAACACATATAATGAGCAGATTCAATTTGTAAGATTGCTTTTACAAAATCTACATGGCCCAGTATTGCTGCTAGGTGAAGAGGATTCTTATCCTCACACTTCAAAGCAGCTTTATGAAGAGCAAGTGGATCTTCTTGAATTAACTGATAAAAAGTGGTAACATCTCCTTCCAGTGCTGCATCACAAAGCCTTCTGTCCATTTGTAACCCTCAAATTCCCTGTTTTATGGTTTTAACTTAAGCATCGCATATTTATTTCACAACGCAGCAAAGATTTATACTACAATATGGGGTGGCTGTCCTGGTTGACTTATGGTAATCTCAAGACTTTGTAAAGCCATAGAATTTTCTTTAAGACGTATATCAAATGAGACAAGGAGACAGGTCTTTCCTAGTAAATATGCCGGACGTCTACATATCACTGAAGGCAGCTTCAGAGAAACTTAGGCAAGACTTTTACGGGAGCGAGGAGGACCTGCTGAGTATTAGAAGCTTCTTTAATACAACTTTCGAAATTTTAGGACAAATAGGAAATTTGCCTTCAACTATAGCAGATGCATGTTTAACAGGATACTTTCTACCAAAAAACTGGGCGTCTGCGATTGGTAAAGCAATTCAAACAAATGTTTAAGAAAAAGAAACAAGAGGAAACTCAGATGAACAGTTTTTATAATTTAGTCCCAGAACCATATATGACCATGGTTCAAAGTTGCAGTTGCGGTTGTGGTCGCGGTCGCGGCCCACACCGTTCCACATCAGTCTCAACATATCAGTCACGGTTTCGGCGAGATGCAAATTTTGAAGCATTTTATATTCTAAAAATTGTGAATAATATTCAAAAATATGCTAAACAAAAATAATAAAAAATTAGCAAAAGAAAATCTGTAAAATGTAAATTTGCGAGTTGATTCGAGATGACTTGGGCCGACTCGATCGAGACTATCCGTATCAGAGACTTCTTGACCAAATTTTTGATAACTCAGTTGAATTCTCGGCGAGTCAAATAAATCTGAGTCATCTCGTCCCGATATCGTATCGGAGGGGTCCATTGTGGTGACGACTCGGCCGAGACTTTAAACCATGGAGCCCGTTTGGCACCCTAGTTTTTTACCAAGTTTTTTTAGCTACTAGTTTTTTAACAACTTTTGCTACAGGAACCCCAAAAAACTTTCCAAAATTTTGTACCTACACATTTCAAAATTCTATGCACAAAAAATTTCCCAAAATCTTTTCTTCCTTCCTCACCCAACCCAGCACACCAACCACCACCTCCACCACCTCTCCCGGCGCCGGTCACCTATACTGGTGCCTGTAACCTCAAAAAAAATTTTTGAGTCCCTCACCCTCACCCCCTCTCCTCCCCTACCCTCTTCCCCTCTCCCTCCCCCTCCTGCTAGGTGCGATCTGGTCGCGTGATCAGATCGCAAAGGGGGAGGGGGAGGGTGGCAGAGGAGGGAGAGGGAAAGAGGGGAGGGGAGGGAGGGAGAGAAAAAGCAAAAAAAAAAAATAATGCACAGCTGTCGGCCTTCCTCGGACGTCGGAGTGCGAGAGGGAGGGGAGAGGAGAGGGAGAGGGGAGGAAAGGGGGAGAGTGGGCAAAGAGGGTGGCGGGCCTAGGGGGTGGCGGGCAGAGGGGAGAGGAAAGGAATGGTGGAAAAGTTTGGGGGCGGCGGGCAGAGGGGAGGAAAGGGGTGGCGAGGGAGGGAGAGGAGAAAAGCAAAAAAAAAAAAAAAGGAACAGAAGTGGTGCTGGCGGAGGTGCTGGAGGTGGGAGACAGAGGAGAGGTAACGGGGAAGGGGGAGGGGGAAGGAAGAAGAAGAAGAAGAGGAGAGGAAAGAAAAGAAAAAGGAAAGAAAGAAAAAGAAAAAGAAAGAGAAAGATAAAAAGAAAGAAAAAAAAGAAAAGGAAAAAAAAAAGTTTTTCATCTTACAAAAACTTCTACAAAATTTTTTCAAAAACTTCTACAGTGCACTACAGTAAAGTTTTAGACAAACTCCCAAAAAACTCAGGTTCCAAACATGCCCATATTAGACAGCAGAAGCTACTTGATTTCTGATTTTGTCCGTCAGGTGTTCTCTTGGGTCAGCCAGCGGGCACCTAGGTCCAGTGGCGGAGTGACTCCCTGTACCCCAGCTACCCTACTACCTTGACTTGTGGTTTTCTGTTTCGGGTGAAATTTAACGATTAATTGTGGAAATTAATGATTTAATGTTTACTCGCACAATTAGTACTAGTGTTTAAGGCATACTCTAACGTGTGTGCAATTAATAAAAAATATATTTATTAAAATTATCTTTAAAAAAAAATTTTATGGGATTTATAGGTCAAATTCCATTATAATTAAAATGTAGATAATCATACATAAAGAAGATGATGGGACTCTGCTGATTGTGGAGAATTTTTTGGATTAAATTAGGACAAATTTGCCCTTATGATTAAGGATATATTAGAAATTTCAAAAAAATGATATTATATATTTACACCGTATAGTGACATTCTTCCTTTATCTATTGTATAAACATTAACAAATAAATAAATTGCTACAATTATAAATAGGAATGAGCCAAAAAAATTTTAAAAGTTACTTCTTTAAAGGAAAAAATTGTAAGTCTGATTATGCTTATTGTGGTCATGCTGTTCAGCTGTAATACTACAGTCTCATCTCTCTATGTATGAGATCTGTAGCTTGATCAAATGGTTGCTGAACTCGGGCATCTGGCTCTGGGCTTCAGGCTGGATTGGATCAGGCCCAAAATACTTGAACTTCGTTGAGAGAAGTATCGGATATTATTAGCTTTATGAAATAACTAGTTTTGTACCCATTCGTTGAATGGGAATTGTCTAAAAATAATAAATTATTCAGTGTAGTTCATAAAAATATTTTCATAAAATACAAACTTATTGTATAATCTATTATAACCTTTCTTAAATACATTGTTATGAAAAAATAGTCTTATAATGTATATTTAAACATCTAATTCAGTGATTAATAATTCGAAATGCAAAAAAAAAAATCGACAATATGATGACATTCAAAAACTTGAAAATAGGGAAGATCAAATCTTGGCTGATCTTCTGTAAACAAAAGAATGGCCAACCCGTTACCAAACATCAATTTTGGTACTTAATATAAATGGCTTAAAGGTTAATGTGAAAAGAAAAGAAACCAAGTGAAATATTAATAAAAGATAATAATTCAGAATCAATCAAGTCACAGGAACATAGCAACCTTCTAAATCTGTTCATGGCTAATAGAAACCAAAACGAAAACATAAGATGTATTTTGCTATTAAGTCAAAAACATAAAAAATCTAAATAGTCTGATGTATATTGCATGACGTGAACTGCTGTATGACAATGAACTTGATGCCTTGCCATTTATGTAATCAATGACACCTTCTTGTTCTTTAGAAGCTTTCTATCAAAGTCTGAAAAAAAAACATTGAAAACTGCACAAAATTTTTTTTTAACCCCAGAAACCTAGAAAATAAAAAAAAAATTAATACGTTGTTGAAGACAATTAATAAATTGTCAAAGGCAATTAAAAAATCGTGTGAAAACACATAGTTTAAAAGGCCACTTCTAAATCACTAACCAAAAAAACAATATGTGTTCTACTTAAATTGAAGAGTGAATCCATAAATTGAAATAACAAATTAATTACAAAAACCTTGCCAGAAATAAAAACTAAACTGTAACTTTTGAAGAGTTAGAAAATTCAAATTCAATAACCTAGCTATGAAAATGGTGTAGGAAATTACAGACCACATACAGCGAGCATAAACAAATTTCAGATGCGGTCCTTGCATTGAAGGGAATAAAAACAAAGTTCTAAATCCAGTCCTTGTGGAAAAGTGTAAACATCTGCACTGCTTGATAAAGTGATAAGTAATAGATCGATAACCATATATATGAGTAAAAATACAAAGTATCTTCGATAGCGATAATCTGATAAAGATAATCTAATATTTGAATTGATATTTCGAACTTTTGAGTTGAAGATGAGAGAGAGTTAAAAACATAATTCAAAATTATTTATATTAATCCCCTGAAAATTTAGGCTTGACGATTAGGGTTAAGGGAAAAAAAGGTGAGAGAATGGAAGAGATAATTATGGAAGGATTATCTAGAATTGTAAAGCCAAGAGAAAAAAGAGAGATAGAATAGTGTAGGTTATTAGAGGGTTAACTCATAGAGCGCGTTGCACCTACTTGCTATGTCGATAAGCCACGTAGGAAAGAGATAAACTAAAAGGATAAGGATGAGAATAAGACTTTATTATATATATATATATATATATATATATATATATATATATATATATATATATATATATATGATTTATTAAGAATCCTATTAGGAAACTACTTGCCGTCTCCTTAAGTCACGTAGGAAAGAGAAAACATAAAGAGATAAGAATGAAAATACGACTTTATTATATATATATATATGATTCGAGAACGTGTTTAAATGTAAAGGTACAGTAATTGTGATTATATATAGGGTAAATTACACTTTATCTCCTTGTGATTTAGTATTTTTATATATAACTCTCTTATAGTTTCAAAAGCTATACATAATTCTCTCATATTTTGGATTAAAGTGTCAAAATAA